ATTAAGACTTACACCTTGTGTCCAGGATAGTATCACCATTTTCGTAGAAATATTATCTATTAGCTGCGGTAGCTATTCCGTAGGGTAACCCACTCTAACCGGCGCCATCTAGGCGGGCTTCGGACAGTCTGCCGACCGAGAGGGCTGGTGGTCGTGGCGCCGACGACCGCCAGTTCGGCGTCTCGAGGGCGAGGGTGATGGGAGAGATGTGCTCCGCACTAAACGCTTCACTTTCCCCCCTTTGCCTTGTCATGAGTTCTGTCTCATGCGAAGTTTGGACTTTGGTTGTTGAGCGACAGGAGGTTTTAGTCAGTTCGACTCTGACATACCCCGCCCAGTATCCCCAGAAAAGGGCGGAAGTCCGGCGATTTCCTTCTGACCAAAAAAAAAAAGCTGCGGTAGCTGGTTAACAAGAAGGGGACTGTGAAAATCACTCGTCTATGCGACCAATAAATTAAAAACACACAAATTACCTAATATCCTAATTTGTTCGAAACTAAATAAAGTCAAGGTCTCATTATCTACTTTATCTTATTGCCAGCACGTTACTCGCAACAAAACTTACTGTTAGACAATTTAAGTGAGCTTGTACTGTAATGATCTTATGCCGTGCCAGTCGGGAAGCAATCAAAAAAATAATAATGATGTCAGAAGCGAAAAGCTTCCTTGTGTACTTCGCACGTCAATGTCAACGGCTGAAGCAGTGGGAATTCCGTAATGATAAGGTTTCGGAAGAGGAAATAGTGAAACAGTATTTATCTTTGGCATAAAAAACGAAGAGAATTATTTCTGGAGTAATATGGTGAATGCAATGCGGGCTTAGGCGCGAGTGGACTTAGAATGTACTATTAATAATATATATAATAATAATAATAATATAATAATGTATTTTTTTCTCTTTGCGAACATACTTTTATTACACAATGTAGTTTAGTTTGATCTCATTCGTGAACATCACCGAAATACATCATCCATCAAAACCAAAGAAAGCTTAATAGAAAAATTATCTACATTAGTTTTGCCTACGAGGCGTATTGCCTAATAGCAAGCTGAAATTTATATTAAAGGGAATGTTATTTTGGCATTCCACTTAAATTTTTTTTTTCACATATTTTATTAGGGAATATCTCGAGTATAATATTGTACGGGAATAGGACCCTACCCATTTCATCATGCACACATGATTACGTACACGGCGTGCCATTTCTATTCCCATTTTCCCAAACACAATGAGTCATAGATTAAGAAGACGTACGCGTAGATACGGCGTCATACAACGATCATTACGTACGCATGACGTAAACGTACTACAATTAAGGAGACGGAAGTAAGATAGCCTGTATAAACATGTATATTTCTAAGTATACATGTCTATACAGGCCTTCAAAGTCGTCGTGGCCTAAAGGATAAGACGTCCGGTGCATTCGTATCTAGCGATGCAACGGTGTTCGAATCCCGCAAGCGGGTATAAATTTTTCTAATAAAATACGTACTCAACAAATGTTCACGATTGACTTCCACGGTGAAGGAATAGCGTCGTGTAATAAAAATCGAACCCGCAAAATTATAATTTGCGTAATTACTGGTGGTAGGATCTGTTGTGAATCCGCACCGATAGGTACCACCATTCCGCCTATTTCTACCATGAAGCAGTAATGCGTTTCGGCTTGAAGGGTGGGGCAGCTATTGTAACTATACGAAGACCTTAAAACTTATGTCTCGAGGTGGGTGGCGCATTTACGTTGTAGATGTCTTAACTTAACATAACACTTAACATCAGGTGGGCTGTGAGCTCGTCCACCCATCTAAGCAATAAAAAAGGTGATAAATTACATGTGTTTATCTCCATCGAAAAATTTAACAATATAAAATCAGGATTTTATCAAATATCCTTCAAAATTAAGTACGCGAAAGAAAACATAAGTCAAAAGTTTCAGAACTGCTTCTACTAATAACAGCACAATATTCAAATGATGACCAATTAGACTTTGGTCATTCATAACCGAAACGTCGTAAATGATAAAGTGAAAATAATTAATCCGATATTAAACCGTAAAAATACTTTTAATTGTGTCTACGACTCGCAAAGGCGGAAGACAATATTACGCTCAAGGGTTCAGTAATAATAATAAATTGTTAAGCATCGTTATATAACTGATAAGGATGTTTTGTTGCAGATACTATAATATGTTACATATAATATATTGTATACTAGCTGACCCGGCAGACTTCGTAGTGCCTCAATCGATAATTAAAAGATCTAAACTTTTGTATAATATAAACTTAAAACAAACAAAAGGAATCCGTCCGACGGGGACACATCAAAGGAAAAACAAAATTGTTGTTTTTATTTAATTCAGAGCTTTTTCATATTTATCTACCTTTTAAACCTTCTCTGGACTTCCACAAATAATTCAAGATCAATATTAGCCAAATCGGTCCAGCCGTTCTCGAGTTTTAGCGAGACTAACGAACAGCAATTCATTTATATATATATATATATATAAATCCCGTAACTCTTTTGGCAACCTTTCATTTTCCAACCTTCTGACAACCACCACTTCTAATAAACTTAGAGCAAAATGAATCATGTATATTAACGTATTAACGAATATGAAACTGACTATGCAACTCTAAATTCACCTTGTTGCAATATTCTAGAAAATAGTAATATACCAATATCAANCAATTGTACGTATAGAACAATATGTCGTGTCCCTACTATATAGGTCTATGGTCTGTTTATGTTTTTTTTGACTAATTTTTTTGTTCTTTAAATAGGCAAACGGAACGCAGGCAATATAGCCAAATTTTTTATCATAACAGCTGAAGACATATTTGTTGTATAAAAAGTGATATAGAATAAAAGTCAATAAAATGAAAAATGATTCAGGCGGAATAAGATCAACACCTTATAAGACTGCAGTGGGGACCTCATATTCATAAATTGGCGAGTAAGCTCAGCCCTGCAGCATACGCAGTAAAAAAAAATGAGAATGTTAACAAACGCGAACACGGCTCGTTTAGTTTATTTTAGTTACTTCCACAGTGTCATGTCCTATGGAATTTTGCTATGGGGCAATGCGGCCGATGTAGAAATGATATTTATTCTACAGAAAAGAGCTATACTTGTTATTTATAACATGCACTCAAGGGAATCCCTGAGGGAAAAATTTAAAGAAATTAAGGTTCTCACTATGCCACCCCAGTACATTTTTGAAAATTTGATGTATGTTCGTAAACATATTGAGGAGTTTCTTAATAAGTCGGACATACATAATAGAAATACTAGGAACAAACACAAGCTTGTTGTGCCGATGAGTAGGTTACATAAGATACGAAATTCATTCGGGTGTTTGTCTGTGCGCCTGTACAACAAAATCCCACAAGATGTTCAGAATCTACATATACATAGGTTTAAGGAAACTATTAAAGAACATCTGTGCAATAAAGCTTACTATAAAGTCAATGATTATCAGAATCTAGAAGATTTCACAAGGTGGGAATTAGTTGCTCGCTCCGGGCATTTCAATATTTCAGTAATTGTTACGTTCTAATACTCATTGTAAAAATGAATATTTGAAAAAAAGAAAAAATATAATATTAAAAAAAAGACATGTCCGCCGAGTTTCTTGCCAATTCTTCTCAGGACGGAGGCTAGTTTTTGTGAATTGGCGGTAGTTCTTTTTGACGTTCAACAAGTATGTACTTTCATTTCTGTTGTATAAATATTTTTTTGATAATATTTAATATAAAAAAAAAAGACATGCCCGCCGAGTTTCTTGCCAGTTCTTCTCAGTTCATTAATCCTATTAATAATTTGCCAGTGTTATTTATTTATTACCATACCAGTGAGTCAGCGCGGGTAGAAATACCTACCCACGCTGTCACATAATAACGCTACCACTAGGCTATCAGAAATTTTTACTTATTTCTACCGCTAAGCAATATTTCAAAAGTGCCTGTTTGAAAGGCGAGTAAACTATACAATTGAGACCAAAATCTCATATCTCAAGGTTAGTGGCGGCATTCAATTTGTGATGTCTATGGGATCCGGTAACGACCAAATACCAAGTGCACCGTATGCTCGTTCATGCGTTTAGGCAATAAATAAATAAAAGAAAAGTGATTAAGGGACGTTAATTTAGTGAAATATGGGCGAAAAAATATATGCCACATAGCCGCTTAAATTGCCAAAGCAGCGAGAACTTAACATGGCGTTTAGTCGAGTCCATCCAACTTGCCTTGATTTGGGTCTAATTAAAGGTGCGCCAGTTACAAGATGCTGGCATCCGGTAGCGAAATGTTGAAGCCACATCAACGAACGATGCCAGCAGCAGGAACAAACACTAGTAACAGTGAAATGAAATTGACAACTAATTTTCCTTATTTTGATTTATTAATATACTATAATACCTCACGTACCGCGATCAATTAATAAATTTAATTTCTATTATCACACAACTACTCTCAAACAAATAAATAAGTAACTAAATTTTCTGTAATTAGATTTATATAAATGCGTTTTTCACTGGATAAACTTACTAACGTAGGAATCGAATAGCCTTTAATAACTATTGCGTAAAATTATTACAATAACAAAATGTATACTTTAAAATATTTGTTTAAGATGTAATGATTTAAATTATTAATGTATAATACTATATATAGGTAATGTTAATCTAAGAAATAATCTAAGTAATATCTGATTGTCCGACGACAGTTTTCGTGTTTTTAAAGCTCAATTCAAACTTTCATTTCAAATTTTTCCCTCGTTAACATTAACATTAATGTTGTTAATTCATCCTTTCTTAACGCTATATTTACTTATTTAAACAGTTAAAACTTTGCCTAAACCAATTAACTCTTATCCGATATCTTAACTTTGGTTATAACACCCATTTTAAACGTTACAATTTTGCATTGTTAAAATTTCCTACGTGCAAATTAATTATCGCGTTTTTTCATACCATTTCAGTATGCAAAGGTTGCATATTAAATCTGATAATCTAATTTTACTTATAATTTTAAATGATTACAGTCAATCTAGTTATACGTGTATGTACATTCGTCATTCGAATACGAGTCATATTGCTAGAAAGTAAATTAAGGTGTCAAATTGTCCACAATTGCTTTAACTGCTTGCCAAGTTTCGCGAGCCGTTGATACAATTTGCGATCCAGGTAGTAGAAAGCCGTAAGGTCCAAACGAATCTCGCAAGTCAACGTGATAGGAAAACTTGATGCCAGCCCGAGCCTTGGCCCAATCATGAGACATCCCAGACGCAGGCTGCCGCAAATCTGCCACAGTGCCCAGCTGAAAATAAACAAATTAAATAATGAAAGTACAATGCAGCCCGATCGTTTGCGAATGTGTTAAGTATGAAGAATTAGCTCACCTGATACTTGGTACCGAATAAGTCGGAAAGCGCCGTTGTTGCCAATTTTCCCATTTCCATGAGTATTCCATCATCGGCGAAGGGCGCGTGGGCTTGGGAACTTGGTACTAGCCAAGCTTGGGTATAGGCATGCAGAGATATAAAAACCTGAAGCAAAAAGTATTGAAACTAACTATACTTGGCATGTTTTTATTCAGTTATAACAAAATTTTAAATTAGTCATGGTGATGTAATATTTTGTGATTTTTAAAGTTACGTAGAAAAATCACAAAATTCTTAGGCTCGTTTAAAAATCTCACTTTAAAAATGTTCGCAGTAATCTAACAGTAACGAACGTACTAATCTAATTTGATGTCGCGAAATATGCCGCTTTCCGACGCAATTTCTCTATTTGACGTGCGGTTTGCGCTCACGGTTTTAAACCAATGATATATTGTCATACTTGCTTACTTGAGTCTCGAACCTCCATAGTCAGGTCAGATTTCTACTTTGCGGGCCTAACAATACTAATAACTTTTAAACGGCAAAACTATTTGTAATTTTGTGCTTTTTTTCCCTGCCTATTCGCTGACAACCTAAGGGTCTTTTCCAGCTTCTCGCCGTGGTAGGTGAGCTCACGCGCTCAATCTGAGAGAATTTACTAACACCAGCCCTACCAAGAGCAGTTCTTCGCAGAACCTACTACCGAATCAGAATCACGACCCACTGTGATTATCCACCGAAAAACTCAGTGGTTTGTATTTTGTGCACTCATGATTTTAATTTTAGAATTAAACACAACCCACAGCTTTATATTTTTCATATAACATTATTAAAACATTTTTGTCTCTCACTTATTCTCATTTTCGGAGATGATTAAACGAAAATACTAAACGATAAGGTCCAGGCTACGCGAGGAAAAGTCTTGTCTTTAATCACACAGCGAATGTATAAGAAGAAGGTTCCAATTTTCCTACTCTCGAAGCGGAAGACAATGAATTAGTGTTTACTCAGAAACTGCGAAGGGTGGGGCAGCCGTTGTAACTATACTGAGACCTTAGAACTCATATCTCAAGGTTGATGGCGGCATTTAGGTTTTAGATGTATATGAGCTCTGCTAACCACTTAACACCAGGTGGGCTGTGAGCTCGTCCACCAACATATGGAATAAAAAAAAATGCAGAACAGGATCTGCGCTAAGAGAAGCCATACCGAATAATATGACGTTATTAATAGCGACAAAAACGTTTGAATGGACTGAGGTTTCCGCCAGTTACCAAGAGGCCTGTTCAATGAAATATTCCAGATTCGACGCTTTAGGAATTTAACATATCAACGCGTTCATTCTGTCGGATATTCTTAAAGAATGTGAATGGCTGTCTTTTCGTATTTATTTCATCATTCATCCTGTCAGATATTCCCATAGAATGTGATTGGATATATTAACGTATTTAGCACACGAGTGTTGATCAATCACAATATTAGACTAACTTAAATGAAACGTATGTACGTCTGATGTTATACTGCCAAGACCAGATTTTTAATCTTTCTCGATTACAAGTAAAAAACCACAAGTAGCAACCATAATATTGTTTAAATTTTTTAATTAAAATTGTTACTCAGTCTTAATTTTTAAAAAATATAACATCATAAATTTCTCCAATAGAAATTTAAGGAACACTAATCTTAGCATAATGTAAAAATAAATTCTGAGAACTCAGAATATCTCAGACGACCGGTAGTGTTATTAAGTATGTAGATGAATAAAATTATGTATATTAGCGCGTGCTCTGACTGACGATAGAAATGAAAGACCTGAGCTAATACAACGTTCCACATTTCTATGCGATTTTATTTCTTAAGCATTTAAATATTTATTAAAAAAACGAATCCAACAATATAAAATGACGATAAGGAACTAGAAATCATTAGGTACGTACTTTAACATTTTCTCAAAACCATCTTACTTACTTCCTACTTAAAAAATTAAGATTTATATAATAAGTATCATAGTTATCTTTCGAGTATAATCAAATACAAATGCAATTACAATCTAATAAGCTTATTGAAGAAACCTGAACTTAACACGAAAGGACTTCAAGGAACTAAGATAACAAGATTTTACAATTTGCATTACCCGAAGCTTGGCACAAACATTGAAATTTTAATACCTTAGGTTGAAGATGCCGAAAATAATTAATTTATTATTTAAGCTAGTATACTTTAAAGCCGCGTGAAATCAACGACCATTATTAACATGAAATCACACCCATAATAATAATACTATTGCTACATAAGTTACATTAAAACCAAAAATCATTTCTTTTAAATCTATAATATACCATGTGAAGGCCAATTATTATTAAGTATCAAATTGGTGAGACCAACAAAAGAGAATGGCAATGATATAATGGAAATTACTTTAATTTGTCCTCGATGCTCTGCAAGAAATTCTGAAACAGCCCGCGTCTCGGGTTCACTGAACGGATGGGGCCCAGCGTAGTTATCTGAGCAAGGATCCGTCGNTCATTTCTTATAAATCTATAATATACCATGTGAAGGCCAATTATTATTAAGTATCAAATTGGTGAGACCAACAAAAGAGAATGGCAATGATATAATGGAAATTACTTTAATTTGTCCTCGATGCTCTGCAAGAAATTCTGAAACAGCCCGCGTCTCGGGTTCACTGAACGGATGGGGCCCAGCGTAGTTATCTGAGCAAGGATCCGTCGAGGAGTCTTTCTCGCCCCAATGGTAGTCCCAGTTGCGGTCTGCATCCACACCCACACATTCAACTTGACCCCAGTTCCATGGAAACCTATTTTATAACACGAGAAACGAGTTTGAATTTGATTGAAAATTTAATACACTATACTAATTTTCACTAGCCATAACTAATTACAGAAGTAGTACTATTTAGATTTTCCTTCGACCAACAAACAATGTATGGAGAAAGCATGAGTGTTTCTACTTTGTTTTCATTGCAATACACACATGCACTTAAGTATATATTTTTTGTGCCACCGTTTGGTATTATTCAAATTAAACATATTATAGTTACATAAGATTGATTTCCGTTGTTTTAAGTTAGAAAAAAAAGGCACTTCAATTTGACATGTTCATGCTCTAATGGAATTATGATTGCACCGATCATGAATTTATTGCTCTGTCTGTATGGAATGATGATGCCTCATCTGATACTAAATGTTTATCGGAGCCCATAGATGAAGCTATTTGAAAAGAGTTTCCCGATATAAGTATATAAGCTTTATTATTCAATTTGAGGACAGAGAGTAGAGAACAGGAGAATGACAAAAGAAAGAAACGACTTGTTTGTTAAAATATTGTCCAATCCTTTAACTTTAAGATAAAAAATAAAACCAATACACGGATGTTTAGCATAAATAATGCACTGTGACAGATGGTCTTTATTTAACGTAACTTGAACATCTTGTTTCAGACGTAATAATGTGTTTTTAATAACTGTAGGTACGTTAGTATAAAACCGTGTTCATGCAACGACAATGACATTATATTGTCGTTTATAGAGGCATCGATTCAATGTGTTCACGTTTTATATGAAAGGAATTTTTTTCTTGAACTTTCTCAGAGGAAACTTGTATTGTTCCATGACGGCGTGTCAGACACGCTTTTGAGATGCACTAAGATAAGGTAGGTACTAAGCGAATTATGCATAATCACTTCACATGGAAAGTAACCAAATATTCTTAATGATGTTGTTTGTGGGTACGGACTTTTCCAAGTACACCAAGCTTGTTCTTAGACTTTCTATCGTGTAATAAAATCTGATTGATCGGAAAACTAACTGACTGTTTGATTGAGGTATATTTTTTTTACTTTTGACTTTTAACTTAACTAACAACAACAACTTTAGTTAACTAAACAGGTTCTGTCGTTACGTGTAATTGTAGATGTGTGAATGGCCTACTGGAACATTTTATTAAAAGTACATAAAGTTTGTAGCTTGATGAACCCAAAACTCGGTTATTAGTGCCAAATTAAATTGTTACAAAATTTCACTTTTCACTATTAACATCGGATTCGAACAAAACCGTTATGTCAGCCTTGAACTTGTTCGTGAACTCTCGTCATTTGTGTTTATCGAACATGCAGAATTTGTTATAGCTTTATAAGATTACGGATAGGATGGAAAAACGTTCCCCTAACATCGCTGATGTTCATGATTAACAATGAAGACTCATCAGTAAATGGGCTATAAGCTTGTCTAACTATATTTACAAAAACAAAACACATGATCAAAATTTTTTCAACTAACAGAAGTCGCAAACGATATTCTCATTTCGTCCTAGGAAAAAATCGCCAATAAATTCACATTAAGCACACACGCCCTAATCATAAAACAAATCTGTCATTTAGAAATAATTGTTGCACTAATTTATTAAGTTAATAATAATTAATTAAAAACATACATTAATAGTACTAAATACACTTTTTTATTTATTGCTTATATGGGTGGACGAGCTCACAGCCCACCTGGTGTTAAGTGGTTACTGGAGGCCATAGACATGTAGGTACAACGTAAATGCGCCACCCACCTTGAGATATAAGTTTTAAGGTCTCAAGTACCTATAGTCACAACGGCTGCCCCACCCTTCAAACCGAAACACATTACTGCTCCACGGCAGAAATAGGCAGGGTGATGATACCCACCCGCGCGGACTCACAAGAAGTCCTACCATGAGTCGAGTTGTTTTGAGTATTTTTTTAGTCTGTGTAGTGTACGCTTTATACGATTACCGGCTTAAACTTATTGTTATATAATTATGAAAAGTTTTCACTGACCAGCCAACGAAGTAGTCGTCAGAATGATCGGGGGAGCGTGAACGCGTTTTGCTCCATAGTCGGTCATGCGTGTGCGAGTGTTCATACCCGTCTGGGTTTAACACTGGCATTATATAGAAGTCAGCTTGCTTTAGTACTTCTAAGTCTGCTCCTATTATTAGAAAGCATGTCATTTCGTACAATATGTATTATAATAATTGAAGTCCAAATTTAAAATATCTCTATATTTTACGAAGCAATGTAACAAACGTTAAGCATTCTACATATGTGCGACCAAGCTAGTTATTATGCGCCATGTGCAGGTCAGGCGAACATCGAGTCAAGTATAGTACAGTACAGTACAGTACAGTACAGTATAGTGCAGTACTTCGAATACTAAATATGTATCACTGATCAGCGATCTAAAATCGAATCTGGTCCCCAGCGAACGGTTACTAGATTAATAAATCACTAGTCCAAGAAATCGATTAAGTGCTTAAAAACCTACAGTAGAAATAAACATTGTTCGAAGTAATTTAAAGTGCAATACGGACTCTTAATCTAACCTAAGCCTTTTTCTCCTTCAACAAGAGTGTGGATTATCCATGTTGCGACAGCCGGTGCTATCCACTCCCGAGCGTGAGTTCCTCCATCGATCCACACAGCTGGTTTCATATGGGACCGAAGCTTCCATTTCTTTTTATTTGTTTTATTTCCAGATTCCTTCATCTGATTGTCATTCGATACCGAGATCTAACAAAATGAATAAAATGTGTAAAATTGAAAGTAAGACTAAATAATATTAAAATGTAGATAGTATTTACATAATATCATATAAAAAATACAATTGAAATACCTTAACAGCCACTAAAGGAAGACCTTCGGAAGAGCGACCGAGAGGAATCAGTTCTATTACATCGGAATGAGAATGTTGTAAATACTCCAAATAACGTAATATGTCGGCGTAACGATGATAACGTCTCCAGGTCATCGGATGTCCTCGAACTTGTTCAAGTTCTATTCTTTGTTTTTTTGATAAACGTGGATTTTCGTAGGCGATGGCTTTCTGCAGAAAAAAAAATTTAACTTATGTAATTCACACGCTGTACCTATCTAAATATACATATATCTATAAACAGTTTGGTATAGTTAGTTACCTGCAAGTCCCAAATAACTACATCGTAATCTATCTGCGATGATTTTAACTGTTCTTTGACGTCTTCTAGTAAGTCTGAGGGTACGACTAAATCCGTAGTGCCATTCAGAGAGGGTGGAGTCCACCACATTATACCAGAACCTTGAGCTTCTTCTTGTAAATCTAACATTTCTTGAACCTTCCATTGTACGTCTGGGTATGTTCGCAACAACTGATAACCTTTGTATGTCTTCTTCAAAGATTTCTTTGTTGGTTTCTTACCTAATGGTAAATTATAATAATTTTTAGAAAAAAAAAGAACGGTCACAGCTATTTTTGAATCTCTTCCACGCGCGAAATAGATAACGAAAAACAGCATTTTGATGAAAATAAACGCGCATTACCTGCCTCAAATTGATATTCAACTACTAAACAACGACTCGTCTAGAAAGCGTATGCTTTCCAATTTTCATCTCAATTGAATAAATACGCGCTAAAACACAAATAAAAAAACGGAGTACCTACAGATCATTTTGAATATTTGATATTGAGTGTATGAGTTGTATGAGTTTTTCCGCAGATGAACACGAAACACCTACTACACGAAATACCTATAAACGAAGGCAGAACTCACAAATCCCTGTGTTAAGTAGTTTCTGTATCTCATACACACTACAATGTGAATGCTGCCACACACCTTGAGACGTGAAATCAAAGTCTTATTGTATGGCTAGCCTATCCTCGGAATCAGAAATGGGCAAGTGTGGTGGTACCATGTAGGTACGTCCTATCATCACTAACTGAAGTATCTTACCAAGAGTTATTACCGTGACACAAAGACGTAACCTATCGCCTATTATAAGCGATAATGTGCTTACACGCTGGGCGGAGGCTGTCATCTGGTAAATGCGCGCCACATTGTATGTAACATGACATGACTCTTTGAATGTATGCATCAAGTGCGGTCATCAACGTGAACATCTAATGATTCACCCTTTACGAAAAGAAAGTGAAAAGATATAATGAGGATGCTTTCGTTTGGAAAATTCTTTTGTGTGGTTCTTTAAGATTTTTTTAGTTAACCTATTATTTATTCGCAGTGTTTTTAATGTTCGTACTCTCTTGAGTAGCCATTAAGTAAACGTACCTACTGTAATGAAGAAATTACAGATTATTAAAAACTAAATACAGACGTACATTTAAATAAAAATAGAATTAAATAATTAGGCTAGAACAGCTGAAAATTATATATGAATTATAAGTTTTGGAAAATTTAACTAGAACAATATTATCATATTTTATGTTAACGAGGCTCCGCACTGTTTGATGTAGTGCATTGTACTTACTTGTACTGAGTTCGCTGGCGTAGGCACCATCGTTTTCCTCCGATTCAACAAGGGTATGGAACCAGCTGGGCGCAGGCGTGAGCGGCTCTGGTGTGGTTGTCGTTGGAAAAATATAATTTGGTTTTTTGGCTTTTACCGAACCTTGGAACCATCCGCCGTCTCCGCCGAACCATGAAGTTTTTTTGTTCACAAACCAATTGTATATATTTGAAAATATACCTGGAACTTTAATAAAAAAAAATACAAACAAAAATACATTCATACTTTATTATTAAATGTACCGCCCCCTACACACAAATGAACCATTTATTTTGCTATCGACATAAAAGAGAAACTTCACACACACACACACACACACGAAAACATTATATGTAGACAAAAATGTAGTCATTTTCCTTCTATGAAATAATTCTCATCGACTAATCGACTTGGTTTTCAGTTCACATCTAGCGTCTTGATAAAAGCAACTGATACATTTTTATGGAGAAACTTTTAATGTTAGTGGCACAGCGACTTATGAGACAGACAGAGGTGAGCACAGTCGCAACGAGACCACTTTGATGAACTGGTAAAACCGGGACCATAAATATAAACTACTAGAAAGAATACTATTATTTTCGGAGAATCTGTTTCACTTGTTCTTAAACTTTTAAAAATCATGTAACAACAATCACAAACACATACATGTTTGTTTTACATTAACCAATTTGAAAAAAAAGGAGGAGTTTATCAATTCGACTATTTTTTTTACCTCAGAACTTTTATCTAGTTAGCACAGTTACACACAGCTACAGTAACAGATTTTTATGATTTTGCTGCTTCTTATTAAAGCCGGTGTCTCTAATCCAATCTCATTAAAATTTCGTAACAATATCCAGATCTCACTTCGACTACGCTGATGATATTCGTATTTTATTTTGTCTTAGTCGGTTTGCTTTTTTTGCATTATTTATTATTAACTAAGATATTAAGCCTTGCTTTTGCTACAGCTGATGTTCAGGTAGCATCCGAAATGGTCTAAGTTTCGGTTGCATTATATTAACGACTAGCTTGTTCTTCAGATCAAAACACGTGATTGCGTGGCGGTACAAGCAGTCAGCATTACGCACAGGGCCCAACAACATCATCAGCATTCAATTTGGGAAGTTGACGAATATAAACAGAAAAATAAATATTAATTAATATTCGTTAAGAGAACACGTTAGTCGAAGATAATATAAGACATTAATCAGATCCTTCTGAACCTGTATGATCATCTGTCCTGAACGAGGTCGTAAAAAATACAATGTAACATTACATCTCATATTAATGTTGAATTTTTATTATCACATTTTATAAAGAAAACATTTGGTGACATAAACCATTTTAATTATAATTCAAAGCAGATATTAATAATATAACCATCCCAAAGTGATGGTCTCAACATTACATAATACTCCTATCATATTATTCTGTTCTTAAAATGATTGGTCATACTTTATGGAAAGGTGTAGGTACTCAAAGCAATCTGAAATAGTCCGGCGGCCGTCTGGTGGCAATAATACGTTATTGTAATATGTAGGAACCATAGATCCCAATTTCCGTATAATTTTAAATAGCTTTCAAAAAGTAATTTAATTAAATTGAAAATTTCATTCATATATCATGGGAGGTCCCACATGTGAATGAGCATCAGTGACCGGTTGAGCGTTAATTTCGCCTGCCTAGTTACAAGAGCAGAGGCTCTTTCGAAGGTTCCAAAACAAAAACGAAATTCAAGACATGTCAATATATAAACAATTAAAGTGAAATGAAATTAAGCTTACAGAGAAAGGAAATTTGACGTGCCACGTTTCCGTGAATGATGTATGTAAACCACTTACATTATCGATTTCGTGAAAGTTAAAAAAAACTTTGAAGTTAATCTGTTAGTATAGAAACTTGTGCGTCATTAACTAATGGGTGTATGTACAGAAAAATTGATGTGCTTAATAATTAATTTTAATAACTGAACTGAAATGGCCCTAATCTGAATTAATTAAAATAGGTGTGCCCAAATAGTTTGAAACAAAAACAGGAAATTGATTTCTCATGCTAGGTTTGTTGCTAAAATGTTTTTAATCAATGTGTGACTTGAAACAGTCAATTCAAAATCAAGTTTGCTTTTTTGACTATTTTCAAATACTTTTTAGCATTTAGTGGGTCTATTGCCTTAGTCTTAATTTAACTGCTAGACAATATCGACTCCGAAATAAAATAATGCATACGTTTTACAATAAAGAACATTTTGTCTTCTTTTGGTACGAGAGAACCTACCGTTTTATCTCTAATACGGTTATGATTTTTAGTTGTATATAGAAAACAACAGTTTTCTCATAAACCTAAAGACATTTTAAAAGTAATTATTGGTTAACATACCTGCTTCTACTTGTAATTACGTATTGGAATTCATATTACTCATGTTTAATAATTTTGATAACTTAATTTTTTTTCAAACACGAATCCTACTGGTGGTGATACCTCTGGAGAGTCCGCGCGGGTAGATACCACGACCCTGCCTATTTCTGCCGTGAAGCAGTAATGCGTTTCGGTTTAAAGGGTGGGGCAGCCGTTGTAACTATACTGAGACCTTAGAACTTATCTCAAGGTGGGTGGCGCATTTACGTTGTAGATGTCTATGGGCTCCAGTAACCACTTAACACCAGGTGGGCTGTGAGCTCGTCCACTCATCTAAGCAATAAATAAAAATGAAAAAAAATCTTAATTTGTTTGATTTTCATTAAATTAGAATTTAATCTTTAAAAAATAACTTCTATATCACTTTATATAATAAAAAAAAAAAATATGTAAAGAATATTTTCAAAATATTGATGATGGAACTTTCATTCTTCACAAAAAATTATTCAGTTTTCATTTTAGTTTAACCTCACAACATCCGCCGTTGAACTTGTTCAATACTGGATAATGTTTTTAGTATAAGAAAATTTGGTGTCTAGAAAGGAACGTTTTGTTAAAAAACTAAATTAAGAGTAGCTTTGAAATTAGAAAGTGTTATAATACAATTTATCACAAAGCTCTTCTGCGAACGAATGCATGCGGTTGGGAAATTACTTTAATCGGTTACATTTGTCGGTACCTGACTGTCACAGGCCACCTCAATCATGGTCTTCTATAATACAACGATTTTATTGCGGTTTTATTCAACTCGATTAAGAAACCTCTTGACAATTTTGTGTGAAAATCACGGCGTATATAGTATTAATCTTCTAATTATTAACCTAGATGATAAACTGGCTTACGGTGGCTACTATGCCCGTGCACACCATAGCTAAAATGATACCACCGCCTTGCGTTGGAGTCTGGCGGGTCTGGACTTGAAATTGGAACGCATTTTGTTTCATGGAAAAAATAGGCAAGTATAGGATTGCAGTCCAAACCCGTGTATGTTTAGAAAACATAATATAATCTCTTTATATTTATGTAATTTTATAGGTACCTAAGCAGCTTAAGTTCTTACAATAGGTTACTTTAACATGGAAATCAACAATCACAATACGATTCCATTCTGTAACTGATCTTTTAAAAGATCACTCTAAAGTAAAAGCGATAAAGACGCAAAGTGTTGTATTACCTACTTAACTCCAAATTGTTTTTCATAGATTCTGTGTTGACTTGTGGTGGTTTGATTTAAATGAAAAGTAATCTATCTTTATATCTACTATCAAGACAAATTAAGGGAGAGTTAGGGAAATTTATAAAGTTATGATGTTTTCTAATAGGTGAGGAAATAGTGGCTTTAGGAGGATGAGGACGCTTACGTATACGCATAATATATGTCTAAGATCAGCAGACTATTAAAATCATTCAAAATCTATACTGGCTTCAAAAGTTTAAATTTAAAAAGAATTGTTCGCAAATAGACCAAATAAATCCATCTCGAACCCACCTAATAACCAACCTGATTTTGCGGGTTTCTTGGGAGTTTTTTTTTCTTTGACATCTTGAAAAAATGATGACAGCCACCCAGTACTTTTCGGGGGACATGTAGGTTTTTTTACTTTTGGAGCTTTGGTAGTTTTAAGCGGTGGTCGCGATCGACGAGTCGTTGGGGGCCGCTTTGTCGTAGGTCGCTTGCTGGAGGATGGCCGACGTGACGTCACAGGCTTTTTCGTGCTAGATTTTGAAAACTGATCGGCATGTAGCTCTGGAGATTCAACTATAACATAGTCTTCACTGATTTGGATCACAGGGCGCCTTGTGACCGTCCCTTGACTCACAACAGGAGCCTTTGTCACTATAAAGTTTGTATGACTCTCAATATTAATGTTTGTGGTTTTTATTATTTTTTTATCATCACCTTTTGACGTTTTAACCGTCACGTTCACTTTTGGAACTTTATTCCTTAGTATCACTTTAGCACTAGTCGTCGTAGGACGTAATCGCGGCGGAGGGGTTGTTTCGTAGGAGTCGTCATAATCATCCCACAGGGAATAGGAGTCCCCGGAGTCGGAGTAGTACATGTCGTCGTAAGTAGGAGGCGGGCGGCGAAGCGCCACCACGCACGCCAGCAGCGCGAGCAGCGCCAGGCGACGCGCCATGTGTCGAGCGTGTGCGCATGGCGAGGTGCGCGAGCACTGTACGTCCTGCTACCACGACCGCTGTCCGACCACCTTCCACTCTCATTATACGACGATTCGCTTTCATCGTGCAACCACCAGACTAACCTTGTTCTTCGACAAACACACCCACCTGTCACAGTACTGAATCTCGATCTTTCGATTGATTTATATCTACGACAAATATAATCACAAACACGTTGCAGGTAATTTTGTTGAATGTGAAGTGTCCTTCGTGACAAATATTTTCACATTTTAAAAAGTATTTGGTTTGACAATATGGAAAGCCATTAGTTTACACGAATTTTCGAAATGATAGAAAATTCTAGAATGAAGTATGTCTACAAAAATGGTGTACTAATATAGAAGATGCACCTTATATTACTTATTAAAAAGACTATGGTGGATAGAATTAGGACAAGCTTTAGATGAAATATTTAAAGCAAATTTCAGATGAACAGTATTTTTAAACTAAATTTTGGAAGCCAAACACTACTTTCATTACTTTAAAATACAACAATGTAAAATGTAAATTTAAACTACTTTAAGTTTATTATTTAAATAAGTTTACGAATCGTTGAACATAATAAAACAGCGCATGACCTACTGTTAGGAGACTATGAAATCAACCTACGAGTTGGGGAAACTTTGAAAATATAAAATTATCATGTGTCAGTAAGTAAATGTAAGGCAAATCATTTTTGATGCGAGTAATAAATTGTATTGAAGCGACGATAATGCATGACATCTAGTACAGGTGTATAGTCGGTTTCTCTCTGATGCTCTCGCTTCGTAAACACAATACGGGAATAACTGTAAAAAATAAATAACTGAGGAAAAAAAAGCTTATTAAAAACCATTTTAAAAAAATAAATTTGAATTAATTTGATTTTAAAGTAGGTACACTTTTGACCGACATTTTTAACAGATAAAATTGGTTGACATTAAATGTCTTGAATGACCATGATAGTAAATTATCTAATATTTCTGTAATTATAAATATTTATTTCGCAAGATAATTAAGGGTGATGGCGAAAAGAGCCTAGCAGGGGTGTTGGTTAATAAATTAATGAATATTTGTGAACGAATTGCGTCGTGGCTATTCTAACTTTCAAATTAAAACTAATTACTGCTCGCGGCAGAAAGAAACGATTTCATAAAATTATGCTATTATATTATTCATATATGTATATAACACCATTTTAGATAAAAAAAATATATTGCTTAGATGTGTGGACGAGCTCACAGCCCACCTGGTGTTATAATGGTTACTGGAGCCCATAGACATCTACAACGTAAATGCGCCACCCACCTTGAGATAAGTTCTAAGTTCTCAGTATAGTTACAACGGCTGCCCCACCCTTCAAACCGAAACACATTACTGCTTCATGGCAGAAATAGGCGGAGCTTATGTCTTACAAACTATTGTCTCACTCAATTCACGTTACGAGCCGTTTCAATTTAAATTAGTCCTATTAAATTTTTGCTTTATCCATCTGATCATTTTCGTTTTTACAGCTTAATCGTTTTATTTAGCTGTCCCACAAAGCCGACTGGATCGCACTCAGATGTTGTTCACTTTGCTTTGTTTCAATATACCGCCACAAAACAACTAATTATCCACATATACATATCTTAGAATACAATTAAAAAAACTCGTCTCAAGGTCAGTAACACCAGACGAGCCGAACGTCTGCTCTTCTACAAGAAAAAAAAACAGACAACGATCGCCTTTTCATAAAACCATTAAATCGTTTAGCTTCAGTGTACTTAGTGCGAGTTTTTTAACGTTCTCGATCGTGTAAAAGTTAACTCAAATTTGCATGCAGTTAGAGCAGCGTTGCTAGTGGAAACCGTAGGCAAACGTTCCAACTCCGTAATATTTTAGTTAACTTTTACGCTACCTGTCGAGAACGTTATAAAAATCGCACTAAGCTCACTGGTACACAATTGGCAGTATGAATCAAAACATATCCCAACAAAATTAACGTGTGAACTAAGATAAATTAGACAGCTCATTTTAATTAAGTCTAAAGGGCTCGCAACAGGTACAGCGAAATGTGAAACTCATGAACGTAATTTTCATTTTTAAATTAAGTGTACAAAAAAACCAAAACATTCCGAGGCCAAAATAACAGTGTCTGTATAAGAACTAGAAAGATGAATAGATTACTCGTATTAATAAATAATTAATAAAAACTGAACAAACAGTATGTATTTGTACATGTACATATATTGATGCAATCTTACAATATTTTACATTGTTAAGATTCGGATCCTTGTAATTCGAATACAAGTTAGATATTATATGCAGCATTTTAATTTATTAAATAGGTTGCTGTTGATAACGACCTGTGAAACTCTGCACAATACTGCAAAAAAAGTCCTAATATAATTATTATGTCTGTTATTGTGTATTTTACTGTTAGTAGGGCGTCTTATGCGCCCGAACGGGTAGGTACAACTACTGTGCCTTTTTTTATGATTGAAAGATTACTGGTGGCCCGGAGGCCTTTCCAGCTTCACCAGGACAGGAGTGCGAGCAAAGGCTCAGCCAGGAGGGGTGGGATTTGCTAACAACTGCCCGAGCGCCTCCGAAGGAGACCTAACAACTTAAGAGCAATTGCTTCGCGAATGAATCTACTACCGGATCGGAATTGCGACCCACTGAGAAGATCCGGCGAGAAACTCAGCGGGCTGATGCATGGGGCTACCGTGCCTATTTCTGCGGTGAAGCTTTAATACGTTTCGGTTTCAGTGGTGGGGCAGCCGTTATAAGCCGTTTTATAAAACTAAGACTGAGAGAAAACTATCTTTTTCATTCTCTGAATTCTAGAAGAGGCGTTGAGGTGGCTTTGACTTTGAATAAATGTTCTTCATATACAGTCAAACCTGGGTAAGTGAGAACTGGATAAGTAAGAAAACTCTATAAGTGAGAGTAATAGCAAGGACCCGTCATTTTAAGCTCCCAAAACCTCTATTAGCGAGAAACAGAAACCTCTGTAAGAGAGTCGTTTTTTCCTCATGGACCTCCGTAAGTGAGACTGCTACCTATCTATACCTCTATAAGCGACAGCCGAGCTTTATTTATTTATTTATATTATTTAGGAGGAACAAATGACAAAACAAATTACAAATTTAACATCTGCTATTTTATGACTCATTTTTAACTTTCGTGGAACTTCTTATCATTGTTTTTGTATGGTTTTCTCGTGAATATTGAACATATTCTATTTCGTGGAACTAAATAACTTTTTTAATTTATCGTATTCTTTTATCGCATTATTTTCGAATGGACACGTGTGCCTGTGTACCGTCCTGTTTGTCGGACTTACTCAGATTATCGTTAATCAATTGCGAAGGAAAGTTCTGTTCTGCATCATGTAAAAACGGAAAATTAAAGTACTGTCATTAAAGTCATAAACTTAAAATAGTGAATGCATTTGAATGCGGAAAATTGCGAATCGAAATTTAAGGGAGCATTAGCGAGAAACTCGGATTAGTGAGAAACCTCTATAAGCGAGAATGAGATTGTGCTCCCTTGAACTCTCGCTTATCCAGGTTTGACTGTATATATCAAGACAAATGACGGTATACATGTTTGCGCGATCTCGTAAACGTTTAAGACTAGCGGTAGGCAGCGGCTTGGCTCTGCCCCTGGCATTGCTGAAGTCCATGGGTGACGGTAACCACTCACCATCAGGTGGGCCGTAAGCTTGTCTGTCTAAGGGGGCAATAAAAAAAAAACATGGGTGTCATGAGCTCGCCTGTCTTCGCCTATGTGAATAAAAAGAAACAAATGTATGTTGTTAGAGGTGTTGTAGCCTCTAAGCTTGAAAAATATATCATGTTTATTTTTAAAGAAAATACAGCATTCACATACGAAATTTACTAAAATGCATTATTATATTAATGCATTCCGTTTTTTTTTTCAATTTTTTTTCTTACTGCCTGGTCAATGAGCAACCATCGACGTGCAACCCAGCCCATAGACACAATACATTGAGATTCTCGCTGGATCTTTTTAGTGGGTCGCAATTTCGATCCGGTGGTAGATTCAGCGAAGCAGTGCTCTTGCTGGAGTTAGTGTTAACAAATTCGCTCAGGTTGAGCCCGTGAGCTCACCTACCTACCCGTCCGAGCGTAGCGGAATATTAGGCTACCAGCCTTTAGGTAGGGTAAAAAACCAATGAGCGACGATGCATCCTGATCTTTGAAAAATAAAACTAATCTATCCTCTATTCTTTGGGCCAGGGAAACGGATCTCGCCCAAACCTTGGCCCTCTGAGTGTTTCGGGTCCTCCTTACATGTTGGTCTGGGGACCGGTGAGGGGTGCCTAAGAAGACGACATGCAAGCTGTTCTGCTCGCGTTTTACACAAGAGCATGCGGGTGATGGATGGCCGGGTATCCTCGACCAACGCTGGCTCTAACCCAGCGGGGTATTCCGTGCGATAACCTATTCTAACCGGCGCAATCTAGGCGGGCTTCGGATAACCTGCCGACCGAGAGGGCTGGTCGTGGCGTCGGCGACCGCCGGTCCGGCGTCCCGTAGGGGAAGGTGATGGGAGAGATGTGCTCGCATTGCAAGGTTCGGACGTGGGTTGTTGAGCGATAGGAGGTTTTTATTCGGTTCGACTCCGATATTCCCAGTGGAGTGAAGACCGGCGATTTCCTCCTGACCCAAAAAAAACTCTATTCTTTAAAATTATTCTATCCTGTTTTTAATCGAATTTACTATTCAATTTTGCTGTAACTCAACTTACATTACGAGTTATTACGACAACAGTAAAGTTCCATACCGCTAGTTTGATTCTTTAAGCTAAACCTTAGCTACAAATCTATGAAAACGTAGATATTCAATAAAAGTAATTATTTAAAAATAACTGTTATGTTTACGAAGTTTCGATTCTGATAAGATTAATTACAATGTTGTGTTATACTAATGGCTGTGTTATATTAAGTAGGTAATCACTCATCAAACAAGATAACTAAATAACTTTTAAATTAAAATACCGTGTAGCCTAACTGATCCTGAGTATTTTACATTAAAGTAATTAATAACAGTAAAAAATAAATTACAAAGTAATTCCTGTTTAAATTATAATTATGGTCGTTGCCGCGCTGGTGAGTGAGTTTATTTCCTTGATTCTATGAATAAGTTTTAGCCAAATTTAGATTGAGCGACTTCTAATTTACATACAAAACTATAATATTTTTAATGAAATCATAAATTTTATCAAAGTATAATTCACAAATCGTGTGTTGTTTACCTGTTTAATGCTTAGTCACAGGCTTGACACTAGGCAACAGGCGACTAGTATATAATCTGTGTACGAGTATTAGCGGGAGAGCCGAGTCGAGCGGTCGTGGACCTTGGTGTAGTAATTCTTAAACGTTGTAATGATTGTGTTTTGTTAGCAAAATACGCGAGTGTAGCCGCGTTCTAATAACCTACCTACTAGTTGAGGCGCTTGCGAGTGATTGTTTCTCCGGGTCAAGACAGTTCACTGCCGCTCCGTTGTCTGGTCAACGGGGGTCGTCATCGTGCGTCGAGGAATTGGTGAGGAATACGCTGTTTGCATTTTTAAATTCACAATACGATTTCGTTTCTTCTTAAGCTATTTACAATTTATATTTTCGAAATGTTATTATTTTTTTGCTATAGATTACCGATCGGGCTCGCGAATCACCTGGTGTTAAGTGGTTACGCGGTCGAAACTTTTCTCTTCAAGTGAATAGGCGGCATTCCCGTTACGATATTCAAAGCTTCGTATGATCTCATTTACTCTTTTTTTCTTATTGCTTAGATTGGTGGACGAGCTCACCGCCCACCTGGTGTTAAGTGGTTACTGGAGCCCATAGACATCTACAACGTAAACGCGCCACCCACCTTGAGATATAAGTTCTAAGGTCTCAGTATAGTTACAACGGCTGCCTCGCCCTTCAAACCGAAACGCATTACTGCTTCACGGCAGAAATAGACAGGGCGGTGGTACCTACCCGCGCGGACTCACAAGAGGTCCTACCACCAGTAAAAATCATCTTGATAAATAAAATAAACAGGTGCCGTCCGAGTAATTGTTTATAAAAAATAAATCACAAGAAACAGCTGTACATAATACTAGTAATATATCATATTGTTGTACATATAATAACATTATAAATTACTTAGTGTTTTATGGTTTATTTTAAATAAAAATATACAAATAAAAAAATGTATGTACAATATACTCGTAGTATTTAACTACAAATGGCAGACTTAGAAGAATGACATTGTAGGTCATTGTACCTATATGTATTATTTAGACATTCCGACCGAACATGACCGAATTATAAGCTTTCCTGCCATAAGCCACTTAGTATGAAGCAACGGGATGTTTAACATATGCACATGATAAATAAAAGTCTACAGCATGAAAAAGTGCTTCATTATTTAATTATTTTTAATTGGCGTTGAAAGGTAGACGAGCCTAACGCTACGTGATATAAACCGAAGATCATACACGTCGAAACGTAAATACTGCGATAAACTTTTTTATACTGGGTCACTAGGTAATAATCGCCGAACTTCCGCCTATTTGTTGTGGACGCTAGCGGGCAGTCGAACAGACTAAGCTCCTTTGTCCCTCTGATCCGGTGCAACTACTTCCACCAGTAACCATGCTCCTTCAGCGCCTGTATCAAGTGGAAAGCGAGGCGTTCACGGTCGCGATTCACGCAGTCTCCGAGGACTGGGTGAATCGCGAATCAAAAGTCCCCAGAACGGCCGAAGGTTCATAAAAAAAATCGAAAAAATATAAAATACAACTGGATTAACCGGAAACTCTACGAAGCAAAACGCATGATTCATTCGTTGGTCCCTACGAATAAATATTATTTATAAATATTATTTATTCGTAGGTTGGCCCACAATGTATTTTCTTTTTATAGCGTGATAATTCTAAGGTAATAAAGCTTTTCGATAGGCAAATGTTGGGGCTTTGCCTTTGGCATTACTAATGACTTGGGTAATAGTGACCTCTTTCCGTCGGGTGGAACGTAACTTCGTCTGCATTCGAAGGCAATAAAAAAATAACAATACCTAGTTAACTTTCGTCCATATTTTGCAACTACTACTACTAATACTACTAATATACTACTACACTACTACTAATATCAGTAGTTCGAAATGACGTGATGAGAGTCTGATATAGTCGAACGGACGCAAGCTTGCCTGTTCAGCGCAGCTTTTCGATATATGGCAGAACAGCTATAACGCCTGTTGGTTTAATAATTTAACAGTTTTTATAAATTTATTGCCCGTGTAGGCAGACGTGGATACAGCCCACCTGATGGTGAGTGGTTACCGTTGCTCATGGACGTCAACAATACCAGGGGCAGAGTCTTGCCCGTGGATGCAAATACAGTGGAGGGAAGCTCATTCCAAAGCCGGCTAGTACGTGGCAAAAAAGATCTCTGGAAACGCACTGTGGATAAACGCAGTGGCTCCAGGTAGTATGAATGAATACTACTCGGGTGACAGGCGGTGTGATGGTAAAAACGAGATGATTGTATCATCTCAAACAATTCCTCAGAGTACTCCCCATGGAACATACGGCACAAAATAAAGAGGGAACCGAAGTCCCTTCGCAGACCCAAGGTTCCAAACTATCGGTGAGAATGGGATTATCGACAAACCGAACGGCTCGAAACGGCGAGGATATTTTGATTATGAATTGCATGGGTTAACGAACTCATAACCGACTTGGTGTTAAGAGATAACCAGAATCCACAAACGTAACAATGTCCTGACCCAGCTTGAGAAATAAGTTTTAAATCTTAATTGCACAGTATAACGATCGTATAAACCTTCAAATCAGTGTGCTTAGTGCGAGCTTTTTAACGTTCTCGATAGCGTAAAAGTTAGCTCATATTTGTATGGAATGGGATCGTTCGCCTACGTTTGCCGCTAGGGGCGCTGTTCCAACTGTATACAAAATTGGGTTAACTTTTACGCTATCGAGAACGTTAAAAAACTCGCACTAAGCACTGGCTACTTCGCGGCCGAAATGCGCATGAGTCTATTGGGGATGTAGGTACAATACGCCGTACCACAAATAAAATTAAAATATTTCAATGCTTAAGATTCTAACGTTACGTTTTTTTCTACAAAGTTAGTAAAAGTATTGTATTGCAGCCAAAAAATATTCTACATGATTACGTTTCAGAAATTAATTGAACTATAGATTAGGAGAAAGTGACTTTCTCGCGATAAGAAGATAAATTGTATAGTAAATTCAGATGTAATTCATATCCTGAACAGCTCAATTGCAGTTAATAGTATATAATTATTAGTAGTATATATTAGTAGTATATATTAATAGTATATTATGCATAGTATTTCGAATAGAAACAATACGATGCATATTATTATCACCGAACCACGATTTAGTCACTACTCGCTCACATAATTATTATTTTCAAATAATTTTAATTTCATTAAGCACAACCATTCGTACATTATGCCTTGTACTCACTCTGCTTGTTCCAGATATTTTTCAAAATGACTCTCTTAATTGCAACATTTGCATTACTGTGTTTTCTTGGACAAACGTATTCCTTAGAAGATTATGCGCCCGTGGTTATCCGAGTGACAAATGAAGATCATCAAAATAAACTTTCAAACGAGTTCAAGGTAATTTAAGATAATTATCCGTTTTTCATCCGCCTTTTTTATCTGTTTCTAGTTTTGGATCATTTCTGATCATACCAAAAAAAGTGTTTTGAGATTGCTCATCAATCAATTTATGTTTTTTGTTTATAACTGCAGTGTTTATTGGCAGCCTGCCAAAAACTTCCACTAAATATGATTAGAACAATAACCATTGTTTATGATGTTAATAATTCGAAAAGTTTGAAGTTGTCGTGGCCTACGAGATAAGACGCCCGGTGTAGTCGTATCTAGTGATGAGACTGTGCCGGTGTTCGAATCCCGCAGGCAGGTACAAAATTTCTGGTGAAATAGGTACTTAAAAACTCCTCACGAAAGACTTCCATTGTGAAAGGTAAACATTGTGTAATAAAAATTGTACTACCCATTTTAGCATAAAAAATTTAAAAAAAAACAATCAATTTTATTACATGGCCTCATGACCTCGCTTTATGAATGAAGCATTTTATATTATGTACAATCATTCTTATATTTTTTTGAAATTAGCATCTGCTTGAATCTCACGTTACTTGCATTGATAATATTAATCATTATGTTGTCGTTTATAAATTAAATATTTAAATAACAAATTAGAAATCGATCATATCAGCAAAATAATTTAGGTCGGTAAATTAAAATATGATATGTTACTATTATATAATGTTGTTGTTACTATTTAAAAACCAAGTATTTTATGAATCAATGTAAGAAATTCGTGTTATCATTTTCGGTACTCAAAATGCAGAATATAGGTATATGCTGCAAAATGCAGATATCTTTGTTTTAAGTAAACACATAAAGGCTAAGTGCGAGAGTGATGGTATTCCTACGATATTCCGAAAAACTGACGGGGAAATTAAAAAGTCATAATTATAGTGTTCATTCACACTTTACTCATACTTCAGTAGATAAATAGCAAGTTCAGAAAATTTTGTGGATGATGAATTAATTGACTATAATAATCAAACACGAGAGCCAAAATCGCATGAGAACATCGCACCTGTTTTCAGTAAATAATTAAAATTTAATGATACTGGAGCTCTAAGACAACTCTAAATCTTAAATCGTCGTGGCCTAAAGGATAAGACTTCCAGTGCATTCACATCTAGCGATGCACCGGTGTTCAAATCCCGCAGGCAAGTACCAATTTTACTAATGAAATACGTACTTAACAAATGTTCACGATTGACTTCCACGGTGAAGGAAATAACATCGTGTAATAAAAATCAAACCCGCAAAATTATGATTTGCATAATGGTAGTAGGACCTCTTGTGAGTCCGCACGCCAATTTCTGCTGTGAAGCAGTAATGCGTTTCAACGCGCTCAAAGCCCGCAATAAAAGCTATGCAATAGCTTAAAAATACACGTGGTCAGTAAACCTATAGCGGCGCGGAGCATGGACATACAATGAAGCCAAGAGAAAACGTTTAAGGGGCCTATTAATGCGATGATAATGTAGCACTTGTACTCCCGTACAAAGTCCAGTTTCTTTAATGTATAACGCGACCACACTAACTATTTTCCCAATTGCACCGCACCATTATTTTCGCCACATCCAAGTTAAACGGCAGACCTACAGCTTAATTTAATTTTTATGTTAAATTTATTTCATATTCCTGCATTTTAGTACCATATCTCTATTTAATGTGTGGATGGCATCATTCAAATTGTATTTGTCGGTCACTAGGTAAGCCGCCACTTCATAAGCTCCGTGCGTGCTGTGAACTTGTAACAGCAAAGTTTTATGCGTGTTCCAGCAAAAAAGCGTTGGCATATAAATGGGTGTTGCTAGTTTACGAATACAGGAGTATTGAGGGTATTCTGTTTTTTTTTTAAAGATTTTATGTTTAAAAATATTTGATTACATAGACTCTTTTGAACATTCGTAGATTAAAAAGGTTTGATTTCGTTGGGTTGGGGAGAAGATTTCAATATTTACGTAGTATTGTAAAATTATAACTTATTTAATATTTTTGAATAATGCTCTAAGAATATGGTTTGATTTCATAGTAGCACTAACACTAATACTCTTATAATGGACTTCGAACATCATCCGACAGGAAACATAATATACATATGTATGTTTTTTTTTAATTAACGTATAGACAGACGAGCACCTGATGGTGAGGGCTACCGTCGCTCATGGACGTCAGCAATGCCAGGGGCAGAGCCAAGCCGCTGCCTACGTATTCTGTCGTGCTTCAGTTTATATGAAATGAAAGTGAAAGGCATCAGTTGAATTTTTATGAGGTATAAAACTACTTAATGTGAGGCATACGTAGGGAGTGTTTTCTGTCATTGTAATTTGCTGATATTTTTATTTATATTTTTATTTGTGTAGGTATTTGAACGAGCTCACAGCTCACCTTGTATAAAGATTTTTTTTCGAGATTTTTTTGCCTAGTTGTGTAAAAAAGTGGTTGCTGGGGCCTATAAACATTATAAAAGTAATTTCCACCATCCAACCCGCATTCATGCATATAAAGTTATTATTAGCCATCAATCTATACTACTATTAAAAAAGAGGAAAGATTTGTTTGTTTGTTTTGAATAGGCTCCGAAACTACTGAACCGATTTGACTAATTCTTTCACTGTTTGGAAGCTAAACTATTCCCGAGTAACATAGAATAATGTACTACAACTTCGTAGAACACATTATTAATTACAAAATGTGTCGATAGTATGTATATCTAACTATTATAGTTATGCTGCAATAAGTGTTAAAAAAATAAAACAACGTCAAATATCGTTGAAATTTTTGATAAAGACCCGAGCGGAGCCGGAGCAGGCCGCTTGTACTTTATAAAGGTCGTCGTGGCCTAAAGGATAAGACGTCCGGTGCTTTCGTATCGAACGATGCACCGGTGTTCGAATCCCGCAGGCAAGTACCAATTTTTCTTATGAAATACGTACTTCACAAATGTTCCAATTGACTTCCACGGTGAAGGAATAGCATCGTATAATAAAAATTTAACCCGCAAAATTATAATTAGCGTAATTACTGGTGATAGGAAGTCTTGTAAGTTCGCAATGGTAGGTACCACCACCCTGCCTATTTATGCCGTGAAGCAGTAACGCGTTTTGGTTTCAAGGGTGGAGTAGCCGTTGTAACTATACTGAGACCTTAGAACTTATATCTCAAGGTGGGCGGCGGCATTTACGTTGTAGATGTATATGGGCTCTAGTAACCACTTAACATCTGGTGGGCTATGAGCTTGTCCACCCACTTAAGCAATAAAAACAATTTAAAAAATACACCAATAATTTTCTGATGGTAAGGAGTTTTGTGAACTGAAGCAGTATGCGTCCATCCAACTCAGCAACAGAAAAGTTTTACTGTGGAATATTTTCGTATTCTGCGTGGTGGCAGCATTGTCGTCAACCAATTTTGGCTGGAATGCGAGCAGTGAAGTTACATGTAAACTATTTTGTGAAATTTAAACTAAAGGTAACATAATAGTGGACCATTAAACATTTGGAATGAAATTACAGTAGTTAAATACCAGCGAATACAGAGCGAGGAAATGAAAAAAAATTGCTCGTTGTGGTTTCCCAGGTTTTATTCCAAGTTACTTGAAGTCTTAATTAAACGGCCGTCTGGTGTAGTGGTAAGTGACATGGTGCAGTGGTAAGTGACATCACTATACAAGGGGATCGCGGGTTCGAATCCCGCCAAGGGAAGATATTTGTATGATAAATATAAATGTCTTTTCCAGGGTTATGGATGTATATTAAATATATGTATGTGTATAATAAAAATCTTACATTTATATCCGTTATCTGGTACCTGTAACACAAGTTCTTTACGAACTTATCACGGGGCCGGTTAACGTGGCGTGATTGTTAGTAAATATTAGTAAATAAATAAATATATTTAACTAACTTCCACCCTTATACTGGGACATTAACTCATTTCATCCCTTAATCAATATCAGATATTACAACTTCATTTAATTCCACTGCATTTTATTTTTCGTACGTAACAAAGATCAAAAATATATTAATCAGTGGTTTCAACTTTTCAAAAAATTACTTGGCTGTACGGATTCGTGCCGTTTGCCTGTTCAATTGAATACCTACAATCTACATTAAAAGTGTCCAATATCTAGCCAAGTTTACATCAACCTATTAAATAAAAAAACAAATTAAATTATTTCGGGTAGGTTCCTACTATTCGAATATTTTTATACTAGTAGTAAAAAATATGTTGAATTATTTTTCTTCAAGTGTAGCGTGATACATTTTTTTTTATAAAATATTATGAACTCTTGTAAGTTTACAAATATAAAGTTAAATTACAACTTCTCCTCTGAACGAACTAATTAAATTGAATTAGACATTGATTTATCAGGGCAACAACGAGAAAGAAGCCTGGATTCTGTAATTTTAGGAAGCACTTCCACGTCCTAACGTAAGAGTAAATAAATCTAAAAACAAATCTGGTCTGGCTTTTTTTATTTGTTTTTTATTGCTTAGATGGGTGGACGAGCTCACAGCCCACCTGGTGTTAAGTTGTTACTGAAGCTCATAGACATCTACGACGTAAATGCGCCACCCACCTTGAGATTTATGTTCTAAGGTCTCAAGTATAGTTACAACGGCTGCCCCACCCTTCAAACCGAAACTCATTACTGCTTTACGGCAGAAATAGGCAGGGCGGTGGTACCTACCCGCGTGGACTAACCTACCACCAGTAAAAAATGGCTTAAATTTATTTTCAAGAGAGTTCTTTTCTAGTAGTCTTTCAATAATTTATGAGCATTCGGTTCACTTGCTCATGGACTTCAGCAATCCCAAGGACATGAATAGTGCTGAGGAAACATCATGGTGAGAAATTCATTCCAAAGCAGAATGTAACGTGGTAAAAAAGTGCAAAAAATCGTGTCCAGGCACTTGGCTTGATGTGTTTGCAGAAATACTCCTATGATTGATATTTAAGATACATTTAATACTGAATTTAATTTCAATAAAAGTTTACTATCTCAGAATTTATCTATATGATACAAACATCACATTAAATGGCAATCTAACGATTACAGGAAAAATTGATAAGACAACACACCTGAGTAGGTACTGATTTTTTTTATAATTAAAGAAAATCATACAGTCAATTGGTCTAGCTGCCCACACTTTATATAATAAGTAATAAGCAACTTAAAGGTGTAACAATGTGTAAGTAAACAGGTTACTGGCTAAATACTGCAGACCCAGTGCTCAAATAATTGTACAAACATTGGAAACCAGTGTCAACATATTCTGAAGACCCCATATATTAGGAATTTTACCTTAAAACTATAAGAATGGAAGTAAATACTTTTTTTATCAACTAAAATTTGCACCCATGATATTGAAGCACCTCTACCAGTATAGAGGTAATTGTTCAATGGCTTTCTTAAGTCAGGTTTACAGGAGATATCAAACTCATTAAAGGCATTTTGTACTGCCTGTCGGGTAGGAATACTTGGGAAAGTACACATCTGTCTGTGATGTCGTTCAGGAACAGAGAGGAAAATCAATTAACCAAGGCTGGCAGAAGTTTCTCCAACATTGTGTTCAGTTCCTCACAGTGCACATCCACAGTAATTCTGGTGCCATTTGGTAAAAAGCTGTGATCCAGCACTAAATCACCAAACAGTAACCATAACTTCCGAGAGGTAAGTTTTCATTTAGGGCATTGCCTAAGTGCTGAACCAGTGTCTAATCAACCTGATGACCACTTTTGATTATCAAACAATCTATTGTCCATAGAAAGTGACAATACAGTTCAAAATTCCTAAGTTTCTGTGTCTGTCAACACAAGGCATGTGATGCTGGCAACCACTTATCAAGTTTAAACCTTGCCAATTTGAGGCAAATGGGCCAATATTGTTTTGACGCGAATGTTGAAAGCTGCTGCTATCTCAGAGGTAGATTGAGTACCTATCGTCAGCTTACGGTATGGCATTTAATTCGTCATTGTTGAGGGTCATTTTTTAGAAAAAGATTGTCGGAAGCCTTCAAACATTGAGTGTATAATCTACGGCTCAAACTTCAAAGCACTAACAAGCCGTGCGTTCGTTTGTAGTGTTCACTCCATTCACGTTGTATAATTGATGTTGTAAGCCGATTGTGCGGCATTGCTACTGTGATGGAACTCATATTCCATAATTACTCGTATTTTTATCGTGTTGTGTCCGTATTGATGAAAAAAATACAAATGTATTTAAAACAAAACATTCAATAAACAAAATATTATATGAAAAAAAAAGAGGTAGGGGCACAACAAAAGCAATAACCGAGCTATTCTGAATCGTTCATATCCTTAACAGTCGGATAGTAAAATCAGTTTTGAAATTCAAAGAAATAACAAACAATTACCGTACCGACCATAATACGTTACATAGTTGCTTTGCTTTTTGGAAAATCTTCATTTTGAATTTTGAAGCACTTTTTGAAGGCACATTTGACAGTTGGCAGAACAACCTTTCAATAAAAAATAGGCAAAGGGAGTCATGCTTTAACTGCTGACCAACAGGTTTTACTCCTTGAAAGGTCCCAACATGCGGGAATATGAAGTAAATTCACTTTACAATCATAACGATGCTGTTATTGCTTGAACACTTAATATTATTAAATAATTCAAAATATCCTAAGATCTTTTTTCTTTATAAATTTTCATTTTATTCAATTTGGTAAAAATTGGGTTAGTTTTTTTAAAAATTACATGTTATAAACCATTTTAGATGAAAGGACACAACATAAGCATCGTTGGAGACAAGTTTATGATAGACGGGAAGCCTCTACACATCATATCAGGGTCATTGCACTACTTCAGGGTCCCTGCAGTGTATTGGCGTGACCGACTGCATAAGTTCAAAGCCGCTGGTCTCAACACAGTTGCTACGTAAGCATGCCTTATGTTTTTTTACTGTAAGTAAAATGCGGGTCATATTCTGTGTTTCCCAAAGTACATAGACACCACAAGGGGCCACATCTTAAATACAGCATTGAAATCTATAAACCAGGATATTAAATTCACAAATTCAGTAACACTGTAATTGGCACCCTTGACCTCTGGTCTTGTGGTTATGGGTTTGATTCTCACATCAAGCATACTTTCGTATGACGTTCAAGATTGTTTCTTCTATGTCTTGTGTATATTATACCTATGTATAATACATCTAAAGGTACATAGATGAGTATGTATCTAATATAGTTTCTCTTAGTCTCTAGTTCTCATAGTATAGGGATCTCACGCTCTAACATCAGTGAGTTTAAAAACTAAAATTTTGTCAGTTTTCTTATACTAGATATTACTTACAAAAATTTGTATCTACCAGAAGATTTCGCGCTCTTATCAAATGATGGCATCGCGTCATTTGATAAGAGTATACCTGACAGCTTACGTATTATGTATGTACTTATAATATATATGTTAAACTATGAAACATCGGAATTAACAAAATAAATTTTACATTATACCGACAGAAAGCTTCTAGTCACCATATTAAGTATCATAGATAAATTAATACACTTTATTTATTTACTTATGTACAATTCAACTGTTTATCGACAAGAAAAATATTTAATTAGGTACGTAGAATGGAGTTACCATGAGCCCGAGGAGAGACAGTATAATTTCGAAGGAGATCGTGACTTGGTGAGATTTGTTCAGACAGCGGCCGAAGTAGGCTTGCACGTTCTACTAAGAGTTGGTCCCTACATCTGTGCTGAAAGAGATTTAGTAAGTAGTTTATTTTTATATGCGCTGTGTTAAAATTAGCCGCTTAGAATTATCAAACTTAGATGGCCAATACTATTTAAGAACTTTATATGTTTAAATCGTTTAATGAAACTTGCTGCAGTTCCGATGTCACAGTGAAGAGTTTTCGAAGGATTGCTTTGTTAATTAATACATTGGCACAGTGGCAATCAATATTACCCATACTGACGGCCTTTTGTGAAATTATAAAAGGCCTTACTCGCGTTGCTACTAGCGCCGCCTGCTATGTACTGATATTTTCTTCTGTAGATATGTTAGCAATCTACTTAGGAAGCCAGACAAGTGGCATTTTACTAGCTTTAACCTTCGAAGGTTGACTGGAGAGTAGTTAAATATTTACCGCACCCCATATGTACCACAGCGTCAAAACCTTGACACTTTAGATCGAAATCATAATGTTATTGCTATAACGACTGCCCTATCTTTCAAATCGGAAATCTCGTATCTAAAAATGGGGATGATTGTGTTGCTCGTGGGGGTAATACTTTCTTCCACGTTCCTCCGAAGAACTAATCTGGTTCTTCTTCAGCCTTTAAGAATACCAAAACCAAGTGGAACATTTTCGATCGTTTTTCTTTTCGGTGCTCCATTGCCAATTCCGGGATTACTGTATCGTTTATAAAAGTGAATATTAAAATAGTATTAGAATATAAACTTGGGATACGGCGCTTATAAAAAAGGTACCTACCACGATTTTGTGAATTCACGTGATAAATTAATTAAGTCCTAACTATATTTTTATTTAATTTTGAAACGTTCTTATATCAACAAACAATTGTAAGGGCCCTGGTATAGTGGTTTGTTCATCGTTTTACCGCTTTACAAACAAAACGAAATCAAGTTATTATAATCCCTATAACTATATGTAGTTGTAATTATTAATTTAAGAGAGAAAGTATATTACGGATCATTGTAAATAAATAAGAGTAATCACTTCCCGTAGACATAGAAAGTGAATTAGGAAGCAACCGACTTACACGTCTTAAGCTTGGACGGACAAGTTTTTCATTAATCTACAACTAGTGAATGTACATAATACGAGTATGTACCCAATAAGTGATGCGTTGCGTATTTAATATGCTACATTCATATATTTAAGTGACTTGCATGTTTTAGGGAGGATTACCGTATTGGCTACTCGGAAAGTATCCGAATATAAAACTTCGTACAACCGACAAAGGTAACAAAAAAAAACTTTGAATTAATATATTTTATAAAATAGTATAGGAAAGCGGTACATAGTGGAATTTTTGGTCTGCATATTTCAGATTTCATCGCGGAGAGCGACATATGGTTGAAGAAACTATTCGAACAAGTCTCACATTTGTTATTCGGAAATGGTGGACCTATTATCTTAGTACAGGTGAACGATGTTTATTTTGAATTTTGAAATATGCTAATTAAATGCCGAGAAACGTGACGTATTCAATCCGTGATCAGTCCAGACCAGTGATGTTGCTAACCGGATTGGCCAGAGTTGTTTCTCTACTGCTGATTAGCAACGACCTTCATGTTTAGCGAAACTAAATAAGCAAAGTTAATGAACCTGTCAGCTTTTTACCATCGCACGATCTGGCATCGGAATGCAATTCATCCCTACCACTTAAAATCGCTGCCCTGGGATGAACTTAATTCTACGGCAGGGGTGGCCAACCGGTAGATCGCGATCGACCAGTTGATCGTGGCTATTAGTTCAGTCGATTGTGGCAAGACAAAAAAATACATAGACCAGATTGTGCAACTTAATCACCAATTGCTGCACTCATCATTTTCATCTTGTATGATGTTAATGACCATTACGTCACATTATTTATCCTCTCTTCTACACAATAGTTCTCTTTTATTATATAATTTCAGGTTTGTTTTATTTTTTTAATAAATGAAAATATACTACTTATTTATATACTGAACTACATTGTTTCATTAAATTTCAAGAAATGTCAATGGTAGTTCGCAGAGTGTTTCGTCAATAGACAGTAGATCTTGGTTCTAATCAAGTTGGCGACCCCTGCTCTACGGTATTCCTCGAACGCTCAAATGTTGAATTTTTTGAAATAATCAGCGTGACCAATTTCATTTAGGTGGAGAACGAATACGGCAGTTATGATAGCGACCTGGCATACAAGGAAAAGATGCGGGATCTGATAAGCGCCCACGTCGGGGATAAGGCTTTGCTATACACCACAGATGGACCGAGCCTAGTCGGCGCCGGCATGATCCCAGGAGTGCACGCCACCATCGACTTCGGTGTTACATCACAACGTGAGTTCAGTGTGCTTAGTGCGAGTTTTTTAACGTTCTCGATAGCGTAAAAGTTAACACTGCCCCTAGCGGCGAACGTAGGCAAACGTTCCAACTCCATACAAATTTGAGTTAACTTTTACGCTATCGAGGACGTTAAAAAACTCGCACTAAGCACACTGTACTGAATTTAAAACCTAATATATTACGAATTGACGAACTAGTGAAATAATAACCGAAACCGAAACGCATTACTGCTTCATGGCAGAAATAGGCAGGGCGGGGGTTCGATTTTCGCGAGTTCTAGACAGTCAGACGAGTTCTAGTGAGAAAACTATTTTTACTGTTTAAACACATGTTTTTTTTTTAAATTGTGATTATATCATTTCCGACGTTTCGTGGTCACAGACGATAGATCTGTAACACTAAAGAATTCGAAGAATTTGAAATGAAATTATGACAATAGAAAACAAGAGATAACACCATAAAAGTAGTTTTAATTATTGTGTTATGTCGTATGTTATTGTATGTAAAAAGAATTCAAAATACATTTTTGGGTTTACAACGGACCTCGGACAGTTTCATCTTCGTGCTCGTTTTCGCCATGTTATGATGTCCGCGTGCCGATAACGGCGCCCCTAGCGGCAAACGTAGGCAAACGTTCCAACTCCATACAAATTCGAGTTAACTTTTACGCTATCGAGAACGTTAAAAAAACTCGCACTAACTACAGAGTTCAATTCGAGAGTTAGTTGGTCTTACGTCTTGTTTTCACAGCAACGGAGCAGTTCGACAGCCTGTTTCACCTGAGGCCGGCTCCCGGGCCGCTCATGAACTCCGAATTCTACCCGGGCTGGCTGACGCACTGGGGCGAGCGTATGGCGCGCGTTGGCACCAACGACATTGTGCTCACATTGCGTAACATGATCGTTAATAAAATACACGTCAATTTTTATGTATTCTTTGGTGGAAGTAATTTTGAGTTCACATCAGGTCAGTATTCGTGTTGATAGATGTGTACCGCGGTTCCACTCGCTTTATAACTTTAATAAAAATAGTATTCAGAAAGTACGCTCTCGTACGTAAACTAATAGTCAATTGGTAAATCTGTTTGTATAGACGCTGTTGTATTTTTAACCATTGATATTATTATGAGAATGTGTTGCCCGGGTTTTGTTAGAAATTTGACTCAAATCTGTTAAAATTGTTCTGCGTGATTGAGTAACACTCACGCAAATTATTACATCTATAAAAATGGTGCGCATACAATTTGGTGCACATGAAAGAAGTTAAACTTCTTTTGCGGTGTGTAGTATTGTTTTTCGTCCTTAAATAAAATTTCTCTTGTAATAAGGAATGCTGTGTATAAGAGAAACGACCTAGCTCGCTTTGTCCTCTCCCTCTCTACGGTCGAGTTGTTCGCGAGTTATGTGTCTATTTTCTCACTCTCGCTCTATGTAAATTGTATCTTTTCTCTCTAGCCGTAACGAATCCGTCTCGAGTTAAATTTTACTTACAACGCGTCTAAAGAAGTTTCGCTTCTATATTAGTATGAGTATGTGTTAATACTACCTGCACCTGTATTTAACAATAAATTTAATAAATTTTAGGAGCGAATTTCGATGGAACGTACCAGCCCGACATAACCTCGTACGACTACGACGCTCCCCTGTCCGAAGCCGGCGACCCTACCCCAAAATATTTTGCCATCAGAGAAACATTGAAACAGGTAACTATTTTATATAATAAATATATACTTTGTCCAATTTTACTTCATAATGGGAATAACCATAAAAAAATAGTCTAGAATAGAATACACATTAACAAACAGCAGTGTGCTTTATTGCTACGTCAATATTGAATCAACACAAATGAAAATTAAAATGGGCACTGGTCTACTGGTGGTAGGACCTCTTGTGAGTCCGCACGGGTAGGTACCACCTTCCTGCCTATTTCAGCCGTGAAGCAGTAATGCGTTTCGGTTTGAAGGGTGGGGCAGCCGTTGTAACTATAATGAGGCCTTTAGAACTTATATCTCAAGGTGCGTGGCGCATTTACGTTGTAGATGTCTATGGGCTCCAGTAACCACTTAACACCAGGTGGGCTGTAAGCTCGTCCACTCATCTAAGCAATAAAAAAAAAACTGAAACCGAACTTTTCAAGACAAGCAACAGGTGCAGGTGAGATATATAAGAAGGAAAGAAATTAACCGCGGTGTACCTATCAATTAAAATAAGACTATATATTTAAGTACATATATATCAAGAATATAATGATAGTTTTACTATTTTACACATAAAAAATTAATAATAAATTTATACAAACGTACATTNTCTAAGCAATAAAAAAAAAACTGAAACCGAACTTTTCAAGACAAGCAACAGGTGCAGGTGAGATATATAAGAAGGAAAGAAATTAACCGCGGTGTACCTATCAATTAAAATAAGACTATATATTTAAGTACATATATATCAAGAATATAATGATAGTTTTACTATTTTACACATAAAAAATTAATAATAAATTTATACAAACGTACATTACTATCACTACGGTTCCCGGACACCGTCCTCGCCGAACTCGTCTCGAGTGCCAAGCTCACCTATATGTGTGCCAGTGTTTTTTTTTGTTCAGGAGGAAATCGCCGGCCTTCCGCCCTCCACTAGGGATGGCGGGCGGAGTATGTCGGAATCGAACCGACTAAAACCTCCTGTCGCTCAACAACCAACGTCCAAACCTCGCATGAGATAGAACTCATGAAAAGGCAAAGGGGGAAAGTGAAGTGCTTAGTGCGAAGCACATCTCTCCCGTCACCCTCCCCCTCGGGAGGGCCATTGTTAGCAACAGCTTCGGCTTGAGCTCCGAAAGCTCGCCTACACGACAGGGCAACGCTGATAATATAGCCTCTCAAGGCTATCAGCATAGGTAGGAAAAAGAAAAGCCAATGCTTAATGTGTTTCAATTGGTTTTCAAACATTGATTACAGTTGAATTTCGTGGATGAGAAAATTGAGCCGCCACAGCCCAGCCCTAAAGGTCGGTACGGTGCCGTGCCCGTCGCAGCGAAACTCAGTATAATGTCCCCGAAGGGTCGCTGCGACTTGGGGAAGAGATACGAAGACGTGTCGGGCGGAACTTTGCCGACTTTCGAAGAGCTGAGGCAAAGAAGCGGCTTGGTTTTATACGAGACGACACTCAACGAAACCGAAGGGATCCTTGTCCTCAACAAGCCGCGTGACCTGGTCTTCGTCTTTGTGGATGGGGTGAGTCGCCACATATAAATGTTTTCATGAACATAAATAGGCAAAGACAAATTAGACATGTAACATTTTCTCTTTCATTTCTAGTTGTCAAACGTTTTTTTTTTAATTTACTTATCTATAAAGAGCTCTGGTGTTACCAATAAAAAATATGGCAACTGCCTTTAATCTAACTTTATAGGTTATAATTTTAAAAAAATCAGACGAACCAAAATAATACACATAAAATATTTCAAAAATTCAAAAAAATCAAAATTTTTGATTTAATTTCATAGAGGAAGACTAGTTTAATCAAAAACTCTAAAGAAAGATTCACCTGTAAACTTAATGTATTTATAGAAAGGCATGACATAGTTGATGTAAATTTGCGAAGCTTAATTTTTTCAGAGGGATTTTTGTTAAGCATCACCCAAGATTTACATATGTACAGCAGGCATAATGACGTTTTCGGAGTCAGTAATTTCTTGTAAATATTTTTTTTTTAAGTGTTTAATACAAACACCACGGCATGTCGTCAGTATTCCTAATTACTGTTAACCTAAGTATAATATAATATTTCCTCTTAACAGAAACCACAAGGCGTATTGAGTCGGATGCACAAGAAATACCATTTGCGTATAAGTTCGACGGCCGGCAGTAAGCTGTCCCTCCTAGTCGAGAACCAAGGCCGTATTAATTACGGCACGCTACTACACGACCGTAAGGTAAGTTGACTAGGGACATTTGCGTTTGTATGGGGAAAAGTAACTATTTTTGCTATTACGGCATATCTGGTGTTAAGTGATTATTGGAGCCCATAATATAAATGCGTCTGCGTGTCGCTTGGATTTTTTACAATTTCGTGGGTGATGTTCTTAACGTGTAGCTTCTGTTTGCGCACGTTTAAGAACAAGATAGGCTACCATAGCCATATTAAAGCGCATGAGAGGCGTGGACATTAGCTTTTAAGTTATTGAACAGAAAAATTTGGTCGCCGTTGCCGTTGCTTGGAACCATGAAATGAACGCAGATTATAATTCGAGGGGTGAATGTAAAGTTGCAAAAATACCGTTTAAACTTTTACTCCTAAAATTGTTTGTGGGCTTTGATTTTTATTATTGTAGAAGACACACGGGATTCGAACACCGGCACAGTCGCATCGCTACATACGGGTACGCCGGACGTTTTATCCTTTAGGCCACGACGACTTCAGATCATCCTGATTACTCAAAATGTTTTTTTTAACATGCATTTACCAGCTTAGTCTTCGTCTATATATCTAGGCAACGGAGTCTTTGAACGTAATTTCCATCAACTTCACGACGCCCGATTTAATATGTAAATATTTGCACACGTATCGAGGACCGTTAGCAAAACAGTAATTTAATACTACTGATTTAAAAACTTTAGTTATTAAAATTAATTAATTAATTAAAAGAAAAAATATTATTGCGACTAGTTTTTAATCATGTTTTTCTTGGCAGGGAATTTTAAGTGAAGTTATTTACAACAATAAAGTTATTGGAGGCAAATGGAGTATTACTGGATATCCGCTAGAGACGGTTCAGTTTAACTCTTCTGTGAGCGAAGTTACCCAAGGCCCAACGTTTTATGAGGGTACATTTGTGTTACCAGAGGGTCAAAAACCATTGGATACGTTTTTGGATACTACGGGATGGGATAAGGTAAGTAAATGGCGATCTTGGGTACAGAACAACACAATGACGTGTCTGTTTCTGATATTGTAATAGGCAGGAGAGTTCACTGCCTCAAATCGGACGCACGAATGCTTCTCAACAGAAATGAGAAGCGTCAGGCGGACTCGCAAGACAACCTGAAGTCGTTACTATTCAAACTATTGTACTGAGACTATTGTGAGATTCATTTACGTCAATTTTATGACAATTCGAAAAAAAAAAAAAACATTATATTTTAATGCTTTAGTGTTGTCTATTAATATATACTGAGTGTTAGAAGACCGCTTCCGAAAACGAAGACAGACAATAGTAAACAAAGTAAATTCTGAGGAGCGCAGTATCAGCGCCGCGCCGGTGTGCGTGTAAAAGAAACGCCGTGCCCGGGCGTTCATTGATCCGAGCATCAGCTGTTTTTGATTTTGTGTTTCATTGCTGGTTTTTTTTTATAGTAAAGTAATTTATTTTTTATGAAACTATCATTTCATTTAGCTGTACTAACACGATGGAGCGTAAATAATGCTAATAAAACATTTTAAAAATATGTTTTATTTTTTAATTAGGATCGATTTTTTTTCGTCCCATCATCAAAAGTGTCATTAGTACTATTGTATGTCTCTTCGTTTTCGGAAGCGGTCTCCTGACACCAAGTACAGATCTAAGATTATTATAGATCAAAGATACATGCAGGTTTCATTTGAATTTAACTCGTTCTTGTTCAGGGCTACGTTTGGGTGAACGGTCACAATCTAGGACGGTACTGGCCCGGAGTCGGTCCCCAGGTCACTCTCTACGTCCCCGGAGTTTGGCTGCTCGAAGCGCCGCAACCGAACGTGCTACAAATACTTGAACTGAACAAACCTTCGGACAGCTCAACCATGGAGTTCATAGACAATCCTATTCTAAACCGGACTGGAAATTTACACGCGTGGAAGTTTCCTTAGCGGCGGACAAGTTACAGATTACGCTTATTTTTAAATAGCACACAGCCGTAATAATTATATTGTGTGTGCCTATCTACGTATATTCACAGAGTTTTGAATATCATTATATATTTTTTTAAAAACAAATTATAACGTTTATAAAAAACCTTGTTTTATTAATTTACTAACCGAAACATTAATTAGTCTAGTTCCATCATTTTCAAGAAATGGTAGGTTTAAGACGAGACTTTGGCAGGTATTCGAACCTTTGTGAATTCTTTTGTTAATTTAGTTTCATGTTTCTTCAAGTTCAAACTAATAGTAATGGCTTACTAACCGTTTATCATCTGCGAAAGTACGCGAATGTGGGACGATTAAACGCAATCGCTGAATGTGGCCTCTCGAGCTCTCCAATAAATTCACTGTAACTTAATCAGTAAATTCCCACCATTTTACTGAAACATTACTTCATTTCAACTCATTTCATTCAGTTTTAACTCAATGGATTACAACTGATGCCAAGCAATGGCAAGAAGCGATTGCCATACTGAAAAAAAGGGGAGAGATTTAAGTGTTTTACTCGTCGATATTTGAATATTGTGCTAACTACCGCCGAATTTTCTATAAATTTTATTATTGACATTCAACATTTTTTTATAAATAGAACTAGCTGTATCTTAAAGTCTGGCAGTTTATTTATCTTGGGCGTTTGTGTTCGCGATAAGAGAACTCCAGTTGCAAGCTCAATCACCAGTTAGCATTACAGTCCAGGGTATTTTGACAAACTGCAGAATTGTGTATTCGTGTATTATTGATATCCGCAATGTTCTCTTTAAAATTAAGCGAAATGTGTCTCTATATTATTTCTGACAGCCCAGAGTATAGACATCAGAATCCTGCAGGAGTATTCTACACCCGGCAAGTATTCTTCACGATGAAGGAAACTTGTAAAAAAAAAGTTGTGTAATAAAGATTTCAAGATTTTAATTACCTACGCTATTTGGTGGGATGTCTTGTTAGCTAGCACGGGTAGATATCGCCACCTAACTATTTCAGCCGCGAACAAGTTATACGTTTCCATTTGAAAGATGAACAGCTGTTATACTATACAATTAAGACTTAGACCTCAGTTTTTTGTGTGTAAAAAATCGAATAACGTCTAAACATTATGTGGGCCGAAAGCTTGATGGCCTATTCTATGTAACAAAAAAACACCTGTTATATGCATAATTGTATTGTAATTCAGGAAATTCAACACGGTAACCAGATATTCCTGGTAGGATTCACTATGTTTAAACATTGTTGAATTTATAAACACCATTCCTTATCTTCTCACAAAATCAGCTCGCTGAGTTTCTCTCCGGATCTTCTCAGCGGGTCGCGCTTCCGATCCGGTAGTAAATTCATTCTCGAAGCAGCTGTTTTGGAGTTGCTAGGTCTCCTTCGGAGGCGCTCGGGCAGCTGTTAGCAAATTCCCCCCCTCTTGGCTGAGCCTTTGCTCGCCCACCTGTTCTGGTGAAACTGGCAAGGCCTACGGGCTACGAGTAATCCTTCAATCCTAAAAAAACAACAGCAGTTAATGTTTTATTCTTTAAATTCAGACAATAATAGTGCCTCTTATACTCGTAATAATAAAAGGTTTGTTTTTCATTTGATTTTTGTTTTTTTATTCTTAGTTGTACCAGTCGAGATTTTCATGTTGGTTCTGTTTTTTTTCTTTTTCTCAGTGTTTGATTTTAATTATGCATGAAGCTTATGTAACTTTTCATTTTTATCCACGATTATCGGTGTGATGTTAAAACTAAAATAAACGAAATTAAAACAAAGATACTAATTCCAACTCCTGGAATTATAAAACATTGAAGTTTAATTCGACTACGTCTATTATATTTAAATTCTACAATTTCTACTCTGATTTTTATTAAAATACATACCTATTATGTTATATTGAGAATTAGGAAATTTCAACAAAACTTTTTGCACGCTAGATTAGATCCCTATAATAACCGGCAAACTTCTTGAGCATTGTTGACGTAGTGGGGGTAAGTTTGCGCATGGTACACTCACGTGCAAAAACATTACTTACTCTGCGTCATAATGCTATTAAATTATTAAAATCAACATATGTATTTATTTATATATTTATTAGAACATCAATAAAACATATAGGTTAACTAATATAATATTATAAAGAGGAAAGATTTGTTTGTTTGTTTGTTTCGAATAGGCTCCGAAACTACTAGACCGATTTGAAAAATTCTTTTTCCATTAGAAGTCGACATTGTCCCTGATGAACATGGGATACTTTTTAAAAAAAAAATTAATTTTTTTTTTTGCTTTCATGTGTGTTTTAATGTTTCCGAAGCGAAGCGAGGGCGGGTCGCTAGTAGGTTAATAATTGTAATAATTTAATCTTGGGGTAAAATAGATATTCCTTCTATTAAGTCAAAACTGAGCTGTTGCCAGGTCTTGGTTCAGTTAAAGCGAAGCTGGTATTTGTAATTTTTTTTTCGTTATCACAATCTTGACCATCATCATCATCACTGTTTTCATCACCCGAGTCGCTATAATCGTGATGAGTCGACATAGGGCTCATCGGCGTAGTTTACAACTCGGTCGATTCGGTCTTCTTTTTTGTCTATAATTAATTATTTTTTGAAGATATTCGATTCGTAGTAATCGAATGTTACTTTTTTCATTTACCAGCTTCCGATTATTTTCTGTTCTTTTTTTCCATCTGAAGCCTAGCTCTTTCATAATTCGTCGTAAGCTTCATTCCGAGCCATTAAAATTTATATCTTCTTTAAA